CAGATTGATAATTGATCACTTTCCATGTTTTCACTTTACTTCTACAACAATAAACTTAGTTTTGTGTTTTTCTACGTGATGAGTTGTTTGTGTTGTCGTCTGTTTGAGTCCGTCACACATCAGACGTGATAAATGATTTAAATTTAAACATCAACAGTTCAAACACTCACATTAAGTTTGTTTTCAGAGCAGATTTTTAAATATAATTAGAAAAATATCCAGAGTCTGTTTCCTGTTTCATCAAATCAACTGATTCATGTTTTCATTTTATTTCATTTGTTGAGTTTTTGTTTTTCTGTGATGTGTTACAACGTCTGGACCTTCAGGAGAATCTGGAGCAGCTTCCTCAGATGTTAACACAGTACGCAGCTGTGTCCTCAGAGTCCTGCAGAGCCTCTGGCAGGACGCCGCAGGACGTCCTCACCATCCGCACTGAGTTCCTGCTGAACAGAGTCCGCTCATACTCCATCAGCTGCAACCAGAATCCTGCATTGGGTCTGATGAAGGGTCGCTGATCCAGAACCTGCTCATGAGCCCGACGAAGGCTAAGACGCTCACACCTGAAACACAGACCAGAACCAGATCAGAGACCCGATCCCGATCAGACTCTAAAATGACCACACAGACCCTGATGGTTTCAGACTCCTGGTCAAAGGGGTGCTACCTCATCAGGTAGGCCATGATCAGGGTGGGGGATCGACTCCTGCCTGCGGTGCAGTGGACCAGCGTGGCCCCTGTCTGGTTCTGACTGATCCTTTCAGCCACAGATTCAAAGTAGTGGCTTAGGGGGGCGTGAGGTTGATCCTGGACGGGGACGTGAAGGAGCTGCAGGTCCAGCTGAGGGTAGGACACGTCCTGCAGTCCACTGGCGTTAATGATGAGGGTGATGTTCCTGCTGGTCAACACACCGACGTTCAGAGCTGAGTCCAGATCACTGAGGAACACACCGGGACTCACCTGAGACACCGCCATGACACCTCCACCTGTCAGACAGCGCCGAGGGCTCGTTCAGCTGCTTCAGTGAATTCATTTAAAGAGAACAACTCGTGAAGCTCAAATAAAACCTGTGAATTCTTTTTCATTGTTTGAAAGTTCAGCATGTCTGTGACTGATCAGCCAGCAGGGGGCGGTACCACCACTGGTCTCGGGTTCTTTTTTTGTTCAATGAATTTTAAACAAACGTTTATTTGCAACACGAACTGGATCAATGACGTCATTACATTTCATCGATCGATAAACGAACGAGTCGATCGATCAGAGACAAACACCGGACACGTGACGTCACGAGACGATGAGTCAGCGTCGATTGAAATAGAATCACTTTCTGTTCTGGATTCATCCGGACTCCACGTCCAGGTAAGATCCGCTTCACTACAGCTAACCAGCTTTAACCTGCTTCCACCAGCACTGACCACACTGACCCAGGTTAACTAACCACACTGACCCAGGTTAACTAACCCAGGATAACTGACCACACTGACCCAGGTTAACTAACCACACTGACCCAGGTTAACTGA